AGAGCCCAGTTCTATTTATTGTTTCTTTGTCAATTTTTTTCAATTCGCATTTTAACTTGTCAAGTCCGATTATCCTGCTCAGTAATGAAAATTAATAAATATCTTGCTTTGCTTAGGTTATTTATTATTCATTAATAACTAAATTGTTTCATTCATGAAGTTTTGCATTTGTGGTAGATATTTTTGAAAATATCAGTTGGTTTTGTCCAGATTATAAAAAGTATAAGTTGTATAGGTGGCTGAAAAAGATGCGTGCTTATAATTACTTGTTTACTAAGAATCTTAACGTCGATTGAAACGAATATTCAAATTTTGGCGTTGAACCGAAGATAAAATTTGGATTTAATTGGAAAATTAATATTGTTTTTATTAACCGAAAAATGTTTTAACATGACAGCTGTTCGTTCGTTCACTTTCAGTCCCAGTCAGGTCGAAATTTCTTTGCTGTATATGTGTGTGTGTCTTTGGTTTGTTACCTGAGCGCTTTCTTTGTTGTTTCGTTGCATTGTGTGAGCAATAGAAGAGAGAGATGCTCGTGTGCCGATAAACATCTGCTTCAAAAAGGATTCCGTTTTAAGTTCAGTTTTTTGTAACGCTACTTCATGTTGGAGTGTCGGGTTGGGCCTCGGGTTGAGCAGATCTATAATAGGCATTTAAAAATTATTTATCCCCGTTCGTAACGGGGAATAATTACTTTTCAGTCGAAAAGTATGATTTTTTTGGTTAGTTTGGTTGGTCGTCAAAAATAATTGTTTAAATTAACTTGTAATAGACATGAGAGATCTCGATTAATTCGAAAGTTTCATGGCGGACATCGAAATGAAATTTGCGAGATTATTCTAAGCTTAATTATTTTTGATGGATTTGATGCATACCTATTCACATTTCAGAATAATATATTTTAGGATTTGTTTGTAGTGAAAAAAATCTTTATTTTACAAACTCCCGTCCGAATGAAATTTTTCAACAGTATTTTCATTTGTAGCAAAAGTCTCTTCAGATCTTTTGCGACCCATCCTCCTGATCAATCCCATACAAAATGGACCGCACGAGTTGTTAAGTACGCATATTTCTATATTCATAAAAGACAAATGAAGGATGTGTCGCTAGCGTAAATGCAAAACGTGACTACTTCTAACGGTGTGTGCCATTAATGTCCATTGTATGGAATCTTTCGGAATTTCGTTATAAGAAAAAAAACGAAATTAAAAGTTCACATAAATCATTTTCTGTGGCATTTGAAGAAACTGGTAGAAACGGCCTTGATTTAGTAACGAGGTTGTATTCGAAAAGTCGAAGAAAAAGCACATACATCTCGGATCGAGTTTCCTTTACTATTTTCAATAATAGATTTTGATTATTGAAAAACCAATTGGATTTAATTAAAATATTGCATTAATATGCTAATCTTGCTATTTTCTTTCTTTTTGATCATAGCAGAGTATAGTAATGTCGTGAGTAATATTTCGACAGATATAATCGAAAATATAACAGAATAGATTTATGGATTTTTCAAAGATATAATATTTGTTTTATCTCTTGTCTCCCCTTTAAAAGATATATTATGTGTTTACGTTTCTTTATTTGATTTCACCGACGATATTATATAACTGTAATTTTTTTTTATATGAGTTTTAGTAATATAGTCGAGGATATATATAACTATACAAATGTTTTTTTATTTTTCAGTTACTCTACTAAACTCTAAAAAATTCTAGCCAGACGTACAAAATATGAACGTATATAGGTCTTATGGAGGATATTATGACGGTATTCTATAGGATTGCCGGTCTCTTTTTGATCGCTGACCACTGGGGTTTTGAAAAATTTAATGTGAAAATTGCAAGACGGGTTATTTCGAATTAAAAATAAAAATTCTATTAAAAGCCCCGTCGTAATAGTAGTGGCCGAGAAAATATGCATAGTGCAATTAAAATAAAAAGTTATTCCACTTCCGGTTAAACTGGTTTCAAAGCTTTGTACCAATGAAATACTGAAAGAAAAAGAATATGAAAATTTCGTGCTCCAAAATGCGTAAATAAATTCAAATAAAAGACATGAGACATTACATTTTTTAATTATCTAATAATATTTCTAAATTTCTAAACTTAAAAAAAACATTTTTTTATTTTTTTCTAACCTATTATGATGTAGGTGCGGACCTCGCAATGAATTTTTACTACGCCATTGACAGAACAAGAACTGCGGGGTTCTGAAAATATGATATACGTCAGACAGTGCTTAATGCGCATTTTGTTATTAAAATGGAGTATTAACACATGGAGCATTAGGAGGTAGTGATAGCAAGTGAGATAAGCATTGTTAGAGGTTCGAGGCGGAGGCGGTTTATGCGCGATTTACACAAGGAGAGAGAGATCCCCGTCCTGTTTATATGAGTAACTGAAAAGCTATTACCTCGGCTATTACGTTTGTTGTGCAGGGTGGACCAAACAAGTTGTTTTCTCATGGAAACACATCTTATTTGATTAAATTGGGAACGCCCTGTATTAAAAACGTTTGGAACTTTTCTATTGCACATAAAAAGTCGTTTAGGATACGTTTTTAAAATTTAACCCTTTTTATAAAAATAAAAAAAAAGTCCGATAAGCTAGAGAGGTGAGGTAAATTTGTTATCTTCCTTTAATAAGGAATAAGGAACTCGTTTGTCCCGCGCTGTAAGTGTCATTGTGTCGCGCTCGCCTCGGCGTTACCGTGACTCCCCTATACGGAAATTATGCAGAGACGCTTGACCATTCGCCCCGTGTCGAAGACACATGGACGTCGAACGTTGACTTTAGAATGTGCGATTACCGATTTCGATAAATTTTAATAAATTGTCCGAGACCAGACCCGCGTGATAAATTATTCGCGGATTTTCGTGGAGCATTAAAAATCAGATTGTCCGTGCAGATGATTTATTGCCGGTAACGGAGATTATTCCGATTGTCATTACTCCTATCAATTTGATGAATTTCGAGAAACTTCGGATACTCAGTGGGAGTGCCATAGGGCTAATTTTTTTGCCCCCACATTTCTTCTTTTTTCTTATTGGCATAGATTAAATACATAGACCTAAACTAACCGCGTCTTATTTAATGGAAAACTTATTTATTACAAAAGGAACGAACTTTGAAATATTCAAATTGTTTTTTGTTTTATTAGATGGAGTAAAATTCTGATATCAGTTCGTCACACGGTGTTGATATTTCGCCGAGCTTTTCGCGCAGTGATATAACGAGGGTAATAATTATGTTCATATGGCATTAAAGACTCCTGACTAAAATAGGTAAAGAACTTTTTATCTGACAGATCTCGTCAGACTAAGATTAAGAATAACGTTCCTAGTTATAGGAATAGAAATGAGGTGTACCGCATTTGTCAACTTATTTGCTGGTGACACATTTAGAAATAGCTACTAAACTGAATATCAGATGCACCATTTCTATAAATGCCTGTGTCAAAATAAACCAAAATTAAACAGCTCAAAAACCAACGAAAGTAAGCCGTCAAAAATTCTATAAATCGGGGTATTCAGAAGATATACAGGGTGATAAAATTGAGTTTGTGTCCGAAACTAAATACTTAGGTCCACAGTTATGCTTTACTAACTGTTTCAATATAATCATATCGAATATGTATCGCGGCTTTTATCGCAACGGACTAAGATATGAGTGAATCGTACATTTTTTTACATATCTTATATATTGTACTAATGAAGATTTAAATAGGTTACAAATACAACAAAATAGGTTTATGCGAATTACATTGAACTGCGATAGATATAGTCCTCTACGGTTAATGTTGGACCTGCTAAATTGACTAAATATCAGGGTAGTCCATTAGAATTGCTAAGCTATCTAAAACGATATTTGGAAAGATCAAATTTTCACCAATATTATTATCTACGTTCAGCATTTTAATGTTCCTATGGTAAAAATTCTACTCTACGATTGTGCTTGTTATTTTAATGAACTACCGGAAAATCTTAAAATAAAAATATTCAAAAATAGCCAGGTGCTAGATTAAATTATTATAATAATAAGACAAAAAACGTAGCTCTGGCTGATTGCTTGCAAAACAACAATTTTAAGCATTGGTGTGTAAATCTTGCTTTGACATTCTAATCACCCAATTCTTGACGACGTTCTCTTAAATACGGATGTCCCGTAATTTTTACTTTTATTTAATTTTTTATCTTAAAAATGACTCTGGTACAGCATTCATTGTCGTGCTACAGCAGATCCGACCAACGATTTTAAAGGTATAGCTGACGAAAAGTTAATTCAGTAGGTATGTTACGTAGTGCATCACTTTTCAAACAATATAAGATTAATTAATTAAGAAGGTTTAATCATTGGCAAGTTGTCAAGAATCCTGTAGCTAACATCGGGACAACATAAACATAAAAATTGCAAATGGTAATGTAATTCACACCCGATCGACGAATAACATGATGAAATATGTTTAATACCTGATGTAAATATTTTGGTAGATGAAGGAAGTAGTTTAAGAAACAAAAAAGTTTTTAATTGGTGAATTTGAAAAAGATAAAGAATATTAAACTGTATATTGAAATCCAAGCAATTTGGGCAGATGTTCTTTCAGTCAGTCAGTCATAATATCCGTTCATGGTTTTACTTATTATTCCCTTTCGGGTCCCGTGTTTAGGACGCTTGTAAATTTTAAATATTATATGTAATATTTATATAATATTTATTTTTTTCGTTTGAATTATAAATTTCATCACAAGTCTTATAGATATCTTCTTTTTTTTGTTGATAACAAAGCTTTGCATAATATTATGTATTATATTGTAGTTAGTTTGTTCTTGAGAGGATACTGTGGTGAGTGTATTAAGTTCTAAAGAACAAATGAATAAATTATAAAATTAGGTACCTGATTCTATATCGTCACGTTGTTTTTTAACACCCGTAGGTATTATATTTAGATAGCGGTTTTTTATCATTTTTGTTATTAATATATTTTTTGTTTTTTTCCAGGTATGGATTATAAATTTGAGATTAATGATGGTAAGTATGTATAACTAAAATATACTGATACACATAGGTTATTTCCATTTATTTAAAGCAAAAAACATTATCAATTATTATTACTTGGTAATATTCGAAAAGAAAATGCCGAACGGAACTAACCAATCTTACCCATATTATTACTCTTTTACTTGGGAACCAGTTCTTAAAAATCATTTTACCTGAAATATTCCCCACATATCGAAGCACCGGGCTCTGAAGAGCCGTTTAATAATTTATACCGTAAAACCAATAAACAATTCGCCAAAAACAGTATTCTGTTAGATACGAACTTTGTCGTAACGTTTTCGATATTGTAATTATAAATAATTTTTTCCGATCGAAAAACTACAACAATCGCCAGGTAATAAAATAAAAGCTGTTCCTCCTAGTTCTCTTTGTTGGAACCGGTTCTTTATTCTCCTTGGTCTCGCTGTTAAATTTCAGTTTGTGGAATTTTTATTCTTGCCACAGTTACAAAAATGTAACCGCTATTACATTACTGGAAACATCGAGGATGTAACAAGTAATATGAAAAATGTAAACGGTGGTTTTTGTCGTGGGAATTTTAGTTTCAAGACATGTGAAAAAATATTCAAGGCGATTCCCGTCACCCTATACTACTTATATAGCACAACTGGCCGTCCTTATATTGATCAAATAAGACTAGCTGCTTATTATGACTCGTTCTGAAATCATCGATTCAGGCAATATTTTGATAAATTTTGGTCTTACATATTTTATAATAAAATTGGATGTAATTTTTCTTTTAGTTACATCAAAACGTATTGCAGCTGTTGCTACTATCGCTTTTTAAAAATTGTGATGTCGGTTACAAAAATCAATACACCTAGGTCAGTGAAAATGTCAAGAAAGTGAGCAATTAAGGGACAAATGAAAAAAATTTATGCCAGAAGTGCTATGCAAGAAGTTACTTCTTGATTTAAGTCTTATATTATTGACAAGTTATTAACCGTCTTAAAATTTCAAATATGTCAATAAGTTGTCACATTATACTGAGTATCCCATAACTAATCCGTCATAGAGTAACAGTTGAAATTAAAAATCAACAAAAAATGTTCCGGCAAATGTTAGTTGTCGAAAGTAAAACTTGATTTTTGAGATTTTAATGTAATTTGACCCAGAAGGAGTCATCGGGCCTGAAGCGTTCTCTGGGAATGAGGTTCAAACTAATACCGAATTCTGATTTCTCATATTAAATATCGCTAGTATACTAATTTCAAATTTGGTATCTTTCCGTTTTAAAATTATTGAAGTATAAAATGAAAATAATTAACTAAACTTAAAGTTATAATTAAAAGCAGATATTATTATTATTATTTCCAGGATAGAAAATAGTAAAGTGTGGGTAAATATTAAAACTCGAAATCATTTTTGCAACTCTGGGAGCTGATATTTGATTTATTGCTAATATGTAGCAAAATAAAACCTCACTCAAAAGTTAAACTGGTGATATTAACATTTTTCAACCCAATTTGTTTTTTTGTAGGTTTTAGGTTTGTAGAATGTCAATGGTCAATGAAAACACTGAAATCTTGCGTATTTGTTGTGTCCTCCATTGTGCTATTTATTTAATTTTTCAACCATCAATCTTATGTTATAAATTTTAATCATGTTTAATTTTTTGTTTATTCCACTGATGTTTCTCATGACATACGATATGTGAATTTTGATTTTTTATCGTTACTCCTAAATCGTCTTCGAAATCTACGTTGCGCCGGAATCGTGTCGTTTCGAAGAGATTTGCCTTTCTCCGCTGCCTTTCTGCTCGCAGAGTAGGGAGTTAACCCACCGCCATGGTTTTAATGTTCATTATAAATTCTTATTCGAAGTGTTAAATATTGAAACGTTATTTCTATGCTAATAAGTTGGCCGTGTACATTACTCACCCAAATGTCGTCATTTAGCTCACGATTTTTGTATTTGTCATTCTTTTTCTGGTCTTTCAGATTCGCGTCGCGATCGTATTTGGTTTGCAGTTTGGTCACGTATTTAAAACAAAATGTCATCTTGTTTCACTCGTTTTGTAATTATCACACAATCAGGGTTGCCAGTGAGTCATTTTTCTCACAACTGGTCACTTTGCAATGTCAAAACACTATTTCAAAGAAAATGTTTCTATATGGACCGTTTTAGAGCCAATTATCGATCAAATTAGTATCTATTTTATCGCGTTTTTCCACTTATTTAGTTGTCTTAAAATGACACAATGCAGAAGGTGGCCAGGTAGCAGCTGTGTTCTGCGCGAAGACAGTCAGCAAAAAGACAGATGCGGACTAAAAATAAGAGAAGCTTCCACGAAGTTGGCGATCCAAACCGAAACTAACTCTAATAGTAATAATAGTACTAATAATTGAAGCTTTTTTTGATATGTCGTCAAAAATCTGATGGTTTGGAGGGATTTTAACTCAAAACTGAGAAAATTTCATAAAAATTCAGACAAACTTTACCCATTTCTTTTATATTTAAAATTGTACTTATTAAGTACTGATCGATTCAAGAAGAGTATCAAGTTTTGCTGGCATATTTACATGAAAAAAAACTTTTCCACCGTTGCTGTCCCCTAGTGCTTTATTTCACACTTTAGTTGCTTAAATGTTAATGCCGCAGAACCCGTATATGTTTCAAGGAACGTGGAAATTATTTTCGTGGGTGTTTTGAATATGATCTCTATGTTGAGTCGATACGGCCCTGACTTGCCGGTGTATTGTTAAATTGCTTTACCGCGAACGACATCTTTATACCTCGACGAGGAGGCAACTCCCCTGCTCCGACAATAAATCTTTATTATTATAATATCACACAGGACCTTAATTTGCAATAAAATCGGCGCAATTTGCTGTATAAATTACACCCGTTTGCTGTAATTGTCGAAATAATTCGGCTGCCGCTAAAATTGTTATTGCGCTAGCTTTGTCAATTCGAAAAAATGTCGAAGGATCTGAGGTATTAACGTGCCGCCGTTCTTGTTAATGTTTACCGTCTGTTGTAGAATTCGTTATTATCTGGTTTTCCGAGAATGACTTGTGTACACTACTTGCTCTGGTTTTCTCTGTATATTTTATTTATTTGTTTATTTTCTCATTTACGGCCGTCGGACCCGGTCGGGTTAGTCTTTATTTAAATTCTTTCCAGTTTATTTTCCAAACCTTTGATATAAACGGCGACTGCTGCTTGTATTAAATGGCTACGGTTAATATGAATATGTTTATTGTCCATGAAGGTTCGGTTTTCCCTTTAATTTACACGAGCAGTTAATTTATTAATGATTATAAATTCTATTTTTAAATTGGAAATTGCGCCCAGCTTTCTCTATCCGACGTTCCTTGCAAGAATACTTTTCAGCTGCTTCTGTTTTTCGTTACCGCCATTGCACGTTACTAACTACTAATAACTACATTTATATCCAATACGACGCGTCAAGTCATTCAGAAAATACCTGCAGCCAATATAAACAACTTGCATGCGGAGTAGATAAAACGCTGTTAATTATAGAGAAAGTTATATTTTTCGATAAGTCACCACTTGCAGCTTACACTTCAAGTTTCTGAAAACTGATGTTAGATGAATTGATGGGAACAGTTTTGCAAAACGCACGAAGGGTCCACCTTCATTGCAGTCTTCTAAATTACTTTTTCCATTCCTTACTGTAACATACCTAATTATGCACAGATAATTTAGTCAAGAGTTCGGAGGGTATGTATGATTAAAATAGCAGTTATAATCTGAAAAATCGCAGTTTAAATATGATTAATAATAATTTTGAAAAATAACCTGTAGGTAGGGATAGCGAATAAGTAAAATATCTCACCTCCAATCTAACTCTTTGTTGTCTGTGTATTAAGTCTTGCGCGGCATCTCTTTGAAAGTGTTACTAATTCCCTTTCAATTTATTTTGCAGAAAGCAAGTATTTGGTGAATGTAGTCGATAACTTTATATTTGTACATACCTGAGGAGAAAGTTCCGAGAAGCATCCTGGGTGATTCAGTGTCCTGACTTTTTTGAAATACTACCGGAAGTAATTATTTGAATGCTGAAAAAGTCAATAACGTCGTTGTGTTACAATCTAATCTTGCGTCGTGCATTTCCTGGGTTAACCATCAAAATGTTTCCGAATTGGTAGAATGAAATTTTACTTGACCAAACCAAGAGAAGTAAAGTTTATTAAATTCAATTTTCAGTCTTGCGTCACTGTCGTTCTCTATCCTGGAATTGAAAGTTGGAATTTTGGTTACCTACTACAAACCAACCAAAACTATCAAAATCATTATTTGTCAAAATGTTTAATCATATTAAACAAGATTCATAATTATTTTGTTTTCTATAATGAAACTTTAATTCGTATTAACAAAAAAGAATAACGTTATTTATTACAATTTTTTTCAATGAATAGATACTTTTCAACATTTAAAAACGAATAGCAGTTGCCAAAAGAACCATTTGCCAATCTAAATAAAAGAGCAATTTTAATAAAACGAAAATTTCAAAAAACCCATTTTGTAGAAATATTTCAATAAAATCGTATTATTTTGATTTTAAGAATCTGTAGCCAAAATATTTTCAATACAGAGGAGTTATCCAAGTTATGCGACACAGAATATTGTGGTCAAAATGCAAGGTTTTTAAAAAGTTTTACTTTTGGGATATGTAAAGTCTTGTTATGGTTTCTTTGAAAAATTGCCGTCATACGATACAGGTTGTGTCAAAAGTGTTAAAAATGTCAACTTTTTTTGTGCAATGTATATATGCGTTTTTGGATTCTACGACCAAAATAAGTGTACACATCATGAATTTTGACAATTTTAATTTCTCAAATACTTATGAAGTATTTCTGGTATGTAAGTGTAAAGTGTAATCATAGACCGTACTTTATATCTCAATTATGAAAGGCTTTCCATCTTATACAGGGTAACCCAAAAATGTATCTTAATCTAGTAACAACTTTAAGAGGCTCCAACCAGAGAATGTACTTTTTAAT